GTCCCTTCCGGACTGCCTCTACGACTTCCAACAGATCGTAGATGAACACCTGGAACAATGTTGGGGACAGCGTGCAACCTTGTAGGACACCCTGCTCAATGTCGAATACTTTAGACAGTTCTCCGTCTAGCATGACCGCGCTTTTCGTACACTCTGTCATCTTCTTCAGCACTCTCCACATCTTCCTCTTGATCTCGTACTTGGACAGTCGTTTCCGCATCCCATTTCTCCATACTTGTATCGTATGCTGTTTTCACGTCCAGGAAGAAGCAGTACGTCGGCTTTCCCGCCCTATCTCTACCCTGAAATATTCTTACTACCGTGAATGCGTGGTCTATGCACCCCCTCTTCTTTCGGAAACCTGCCTGGCCCTCACTAATGCTATGTTCCTTCTCCAATACACCCACTATCCGGACCGCCTACGCGGGATTTCAAGAGATTTTAAGAATATCTAGAAAAAAAACAGGGAGGGGACACGCAGACCCTATCCCTAACCCTAACCCTAACCCCAAAGCACGGATTGAATACTATATCCCATATGTTTGCTTAATCGACTTTGCTGCGTAGACTAACGCACTATCCTATCGTTCAGCAGCTTACAGAACACTTTTCAAACTGTGTTCAACAGTGTGATCCCCCTGTAGTTTCTTGGGTCAGTCTTGTCTCCTTTCTTAAACAAGTTCACACCCACTCCTTCCCTCCATCTACTTGGTGTATACTCGTTTTTCCACACCCAATTGTACAGCAGTACCATCAGCTGGATTATCCCCTTCCCCCCAAACTTCATGATCTCGTTGACTATCCCATCCGCTCCTGGTGCTTCGTGGCACTGCAGCTTGTTCACACCCGCCTCAACCTCGTCCTCAGTGAACTCCTTTTCTAGTTCTACGTTCCCAACGTCTGCCTTCGATGTCTCTTCTTTCTAGGCCCATGCGTCCACCTCCTTCTTAAACACTTGGTCAAAAGCTTCATTCTCCGAGGGCACTCCAAGTCTCTTGTAGTGTCCTGGTAGAACATTCCTTTTTCCCTTCCCACTGCTGACTAGTCCACCGTTCACACCTCGCAAAGTTGCTACTACCCCTGTATCCCCCCCTTGCGCGGTCTTTTTACCCCCTCCCCACATCTGCTTGACGTTCCCCTCCAGGCCTCCGTTGGCCTTCTGCACTCGGCGAGAAAACTGCGCTCTGCATCGTTTTCGGGCTTCGAGCCCGACAATCAACAGTACCCCGCCGGTTCCGATCCGATTCTGAACATGCCCGCCCATTTGATATCACACACACACCTTGTATCAACTCCTATGATCGACTTGGTTTTGGCACGAGGTACGACGACATGCAGCTCCAAAATATTCTGCGGTGATTTACCATGAAAAAATATTGAACCTTTGTGTGTCATGAAGCTAGCGAACATCGGTGCTTCTTCCCTTACCCTTGTCTTGATGTAGTTGTCACGGATGATGTTGCCCATACACACGTCCGGCCCGTCTTCCCACTGATTGCTTGAGGTTCCGACATCTGCGTCTCGGCCATCAAAGAAAGTCACAGGCGAGACCGTATCGGTCGATGTCGAATCACGCACTTGTACGATGTATGCAGTTCGTTCCAAACGTTTCTACGACTTGTGACAATTGCTCACTCCCAAAAGATTTTGGTCCTTGCGGCAAACCTAGATAGATGCGCCGCAATCCATATAATTACATCGTTGGGGCGCTCAATGAAGCAAGGCTCTTGGACTGATGTTGCCAAATAATCAAATCTCAACGTTTTTTTTGCGGCATCACTAAACTGCCCATTTCGCAACAGGTCTTGTCGCTGAGTGCAGCGCACGGCTGCCCCGGGAAATCGCTCTAGAGTACTCTCGACGTTTTCTTCCCACTCACATATCCCTTCCCCGTTTTTCCCGTCACTGTACATCCTGCAGGTGGATGGAAGCGTGGGTGGTAGGGAGAGGGAGGTAGGGGTTGGCGAGGAGGATATGGGCGAAAATTCAGAGGGGAGAAACATGACATTACACGCAGTCGA